GTCAACGAAGGAAGAGGGGTTGATATTCATATGCATCTGCAAGTGAGAGGAAGCAACAACATGTTGAATCTATATGCCCAAGAATTATTATTGAGTGACATTGTTAATAATATATGTCCTATAGGGTCACACCATTATCAAGTTGACACATTTTGTATATTTATTATTAATGTGATTATTAATAAATAATATCAGTTCTTGTTTAATTAGGGAATAGTTATTGTTTTTCTGAAAATAATAAATATAAGAGAGTACGGCTAGTTATTATTTCATATGGTATGAATTAATAAGTCGTGCACAACCTTTTGGACTAGTTGGATTTTTTTGTCTTTTACCTAAAGACAAAATTTATATTTTATTTGAGCTTATAAAATTTGAAGAATCCTCTTCTTTTCTAAGGTATGGCCGAAACTATCATAAAGCATAGGAGGTTGCTTGTCAACCTCCCTCCCATGTCCCCCATGCCTCTAAAGTAAGGTGATTACTTTACATTATAATACAGGATTGCTTTTGCTTTTGCATGAGTATATACATGATGTGTCTTGTATGAATTTTGGCTAGTGGTTTAGTCTTAGAAACACTCTCTTCTTCCCTCTTCTCTCTCACGAAAACCGTAAGATGCATGATTCATCTTCTCTTGCTTTCTTTTGAAGATTATTCAAGTCTTTGGTGGCTTAAAGTGCTTCTCATTTAGTGCTTATTTGAGTTAAGCATTTAAATGCTTAAGAATTACTTTATACAAGAAGGAACTAACATTCCAAGTGTCTTACTCTTTATGGTGGATACACATAAATAAATTCTATTCTTGAATTTTTGCTATCTTCATCAACACCCCAAAACCAAGTGGGTTTAAAGGCTTCAAATGATGTCATTCTAAAACACTATTTGGTTGTTTTTAATTTCATTGTAACCTCTATAAATGGATCCTTGAGGGTTTGGTTTGTTATAAACTTAAAATAAACTTGTTCTTTTTATAAGACTTCCATTGTGGTTTTTATAAAAAAATACACTTATATTTTGTATCAAAACCCATCAGTGGTATCAAATTAAGTCATATTTTATATGTTAGAATGATTTTTTATGTTTGATAATATTTGATTTTTGGAAAACAAGTATGTATTTCTTTTGGTTAAGAAAAATCCATATTTTTCTTCTTTGGCAACTTCTTGGTTACAATTGTTTATTTTTATATGTAACCAATTTTCATGTATTTTTGTTATATAAAAGTTGCCTTAGAAAAAACAAAGATTTGATTGTTATAATATTTGATATGTGGTTGTGTATAAACAAGTCATTTAGACATTTGTGTTGTGTTTGGTTGATATTTATTTATTCATAAGATGTAATAGATAAATGGATATTTTTTTATTTGTTCATTTTATGTAATAAATTAGTTAGACTAGTAGTATTTTTTTTTTAAATATAACAAGATGAAGAAATGACCTCCTTGAAGATGACTTAACCACTTGAGACTATAATCCCAACCATGAGCTTCTACTCTTGGTTTTGGGTTTACTTATAGTCTTAATGGTTTAAGTGCAACAACCTTTTCAACATGAAGACTTGAAGTTCTTTTTTGCAAGAAATAGTTTATTTGGAAAGTGGGAGCTTGAAGACATTTTGAAGTGTCCCTCAAGTCCTTTAGGAAAGACTTAATAATTCTTTTGATGACTCACAAAAATTATTACTAGACATGGTTTGGTTTATACAAATTTTTAATGCATGCATGTGATGTTTATTTTTATGTTATGTTTTGTGTGTGAAAATGAGTTTTACATGTCAAACAACATTTTAACATAAGATAATATCACTTGGAGTTTGAGTAAAAAATATTTAAAAGATAACATAAGATGTTTATAAATAGATATTTATAAAAACATTTTTTACCGGTTACCGGTTAAAAATTGATTTTTTTGTTGAAAATAGTTTTATTGTAAAATATAAATAGCCAACTTTAAAATATTTGAATAGGTTTAAAAGGTGTTTAAACATTATATAAACTCCATGTTTTTATAATAAATAAGGACTTTTTTTTATTAAAAAGACTAAAATCGGTTTATAATAATAAAACTAGTTATTATTTTTGCGTCAAAACTTAATATATGATATTAGTGTTTTAAACATAACGCAACATGTTGATATTATTTTTTATGCATGCCAAATGAGATGTAAAACATAAGTATCATCACCCAAGTTTTGGTTTATCAAAATATGACTTTTATCATAAGATGCATAAAATTGAGTTTATAAAATAAAATGAGTTGATTCTACAAATTCATGAAGTCATAAGATTTTGATTGTTAAAAGGAGATTTAAAATAGTGATTAAAACTCCAAGTCTTAAGTATAAAATGAAGTTTTATTAAGATTATTACCGGTTTTTAAAACCGCTCTACGACTAAACTTCAAAATATCGGATTTTGGGGTATAATTGATTGCGGCTAATGGTAAATAAAATGAAGTTTTATTTGACACCTAAAGAACCATATAACAAGTGATGTGATTTTTACAAAAGTGTACACGAATTGTTGGATGCATTCAATATTCATGAGACCATGTTTTTATAAACTATAATTGTAAAACATATATATAAAACCTTTTTTTTAAAATGCAAGTCATCGTCGTCCTTTTGAAGAACACTTAGTATCATTTGTATGGTCTTAGTGGCACAAGGTCATCTGGTCATTAGGAGTGTCTTATGATGTTCGGGGTAGTTTTGTAGTTTTTGGTGTCTAAAGGGCCACCTTGTCACTAGTTAGTTGCAATACTACAAGTTGTTTCAAGTATGATGACTTGATCGAAATCTTGTGTGATAAAGGTCACCTAAGCATGAGAGATATGAGGCATAGATGGGATAAACATGCCAAATTAAGCAATAGTTGTTTAGGATCCCATTATCTAGGAGTTACATATTGTATGCAATTGGTAAATTAATGTTTTAAGAAACAATAAAAGGTATTAATTTTTAAAGAATTAATATTAAAAATACTAAATGAAACTTTGTTAAATTATGTATATAATTGTTAATACTCTTACGCCTTGCAAAACCTTACTCTTGTTGAGTTTCAAGAGACAGTAACATTTTATGGTTATAATTTCTATAACTGGTATAATATCTTGAGGTCCTACCTTAAGAATAAATAGAAATTATATATACTAAAAGATCACATACCTGAATAACCTCTACAATTCTGTTAGTCTGATCATGCTACTTTGATGGAAGTATTATTGTGATGATATTGATGTGTCTCACCCGATACTGGAATAATTAACCTTGACTTGTAGAAAGTGTAGGATAGTTATGAAACCTATCAGATGTCTCATCAAGTAAAGCATATATTCAATCAGAATAGTAGAAAGTTCTTCAAGTCTGTTCAAGCATTAAATAAAGGAAGTATAAGAGATTGTGTATTCAAATAGACGTATAGTTCATTTAAGGGAAATACAACATAAACCCAGAAATCAAGAAATGATCAAAATAATTAGTGTTGTTTCTATTGTGGAAGAAACTAGACACTAAAAGAGGATATGTTCTTCTTATCTTACCAAGTTGAGGAAGTCTAGCTTGACCAAGACTTTAGATATCTATATTATAGAATTATTTATTTTTTCCATCATTCACTTGAGTATTTTATACTTCAGATGACACTGATAATTGATATTTTGTGCTGATGATTGGAAGAAATAATCAACTGATTACAAATGAATGGTATTCCGTGCTGAAGATATAACAAATGATTTAATAGTCTTTAAACAATAGATGTTTTGTACCTATTTTATAAGAACATGTAACAGTTGTAAATTTTTGAATAAATCAAGATTTACTTATTGTTTAATGAATGTTCACATTCATGATCTGAAACGATGTATTTGATGTTAAATAATATTTTATCATAATGTTATTTATGAAGTAAATCTATAAACTTTCATTAAATTGATAGTTCTGATCATAACACTTTAATAATCAAATGATATTAAATTCAAACTTATCTATGTAATAATCATCATCACTGTATAAATATGAAATACATAACCTCAAAAGAATAGAATTTTTGAAGTCAAATGAGCTTGATTCATTTGATACATGTGAATCCTATTTATATATGAAGATGATTCATAAGTGTCTTTATCTATTAGTAGTTAAAGAACAAAAGGTTTTACAAGGAATTACAGATAAGTGATGTATGTAATCCTTTCAATCCATGAATAATTTTGATGATAGATGCTTAGTCAATTTCACTGACGACTTTTATTTTTGACAAATATAATGATTTTTATGGCAACCCCCTAATATCCACTATCGAGTCTTTGTATTCATAGTTGCTAAGTTCCAATGACTCAATTTAGTATCATTTACACAAAAAATTATTAATATCTTCTCCATCTATTTTATTTTAATTCAATACAATATATACCATTTTAAATCATATCAAAACAAGCAACAAAGAGAAGATGATAAAATATTATCCAGCAAATACTTCAGTTAAAAAACCATAATGCCCACAAATCCACAATGCCTCCCTTTACCCTAAAAATTTAGTTAAAAAACCATAATGCCCCCTTTACCCTAAAAAATTCTAATTCATGTTGGAACACAGTGCGATTGCTGACAATTAGGAGTGTAACTAAATGGACCCAACTCATAAGAAAGATACTCTAGACCTGTCTGGATTAGAAAAGGACTCGGTTCAAATCGAGCATTCGAGCTCAAGCTTGAGTAATATACTCTTTAGCATAGTAATATTTACACTTTTACCCTTTATTTTATTCATATTTAGATAACGAGAAGCTCACGAGTTTAAATCATATTTCTGTTGTAATTTAATGTAAGTTTATTTTATTTGTCTGAGCCCGGGCTTGAGTCAAGTTTCGAGGTTGATAGTACCCGAGTCAACTAAGGTCAATTACACCCATACTGACAATTGAAGTATACCAGCTGAAACCAACTCTGCAATGCTTTTATATTTAGTGCAAAGAATTAGAAACTTGAAGAAGAAATATGCATAACTTACAAGAATGTTCAAGTACAGAAACCGGTTTCCAACAATTAATTGAATTACCATTTACCAATGAGATAGGCGGAAAACCCTCAGACGGGCGCCATTATTGATGAAAGATCTTCCACAACCGATTTGATATCAGGTCTTTCATCAGCCGGAAGTATACACCTAAGCGCCACCTCAACCATCTCTTCCGCCACTTTAACCAAATCACCGCCACCGTCCACCAGCTGCGGGTGAACACACTCAATACACCGGTTTTCATCACACAGCAATCGCACCCACTCGGTCAGATCCACCACCTCCCCAGCACCACCCAGAATCATCTCCGCCGAACTTTTTCCGGTGAGAAGCTCAAGTAATATGACCCCAAATGCATAAACATCGCTCTTGAGTGATGGGCATGGTTTGCTTGTACTGCAAAACTCCGGCGGCCGGTAACCTAAGGCTCCCGCCGTGAGAACCTGCTCGGCTGTCCCTGCTGATGTCATCAACCGGTGGAGGCTGTAATCAGTTAGAAGGGGGTGTTTCATGGCGGGAGGTTCCAACAAGATGTTGGTTGATTTTAGGTTGCCATGAGGTATGGCTCTTTCGTTGTGGAGGTAGCTCAGGCATCGTGCTATATCTATCCCGATTTTGTATCGATCATCAAGATTCAAACTTGGAAGATTTCTCGCATCAGATTCTGCATAACATAAACTAAAATTATACTTTTTTTTTTCTATTCATTTGGTATATTATATGTACACAAACATGTCTAATTGCAACACACTTTCATTAACATCCCACTCTCGTGTCTCTCTATTACAGCATTGCACTTTCAATTTTTCTTTTACTTATTAAGGCATTGTACTTTTTTTGAAAATTCTACCGAAGCTATATTGGTAGAATATGAAAGTAGGATGTTATAATAAACAGATGAGATTAGAAAGAAAGATTACCATTAAGATAGAGAGATAAACAAGGGGCATCGATGTAATTAGAAATAAGCATTCTCTCATAATCTCGTGGGCCCCAGTAATACCCCTGCAGGGATACCAAATTCAGGTGTTTAATGCCACCAAGCTTTGTGACTTCTCTTGCAAATTCTTTCCTCCCTTTGGCAATCCCTTCCTTGAACCATTTCACCGCTAAAACCTCGCCGGAATGAAGGACAGCTTTGTAAAGCGTCCCGTGGCAGCTCCGGCCAATCATTTCCGCCGGAGCTGAAGAAAGCTCTTCTGCACTGAACACCATTGATCCATGAAAAAGATGAAGCTCACCTATTAGTTTATCAGGAGAACAAACCATCTCTTCATTTGAGGAAGTAGTAGTAGTAGTAGTAGGAGGAGGAGGAGGAAATGCTACTTCCGCTTTTCTTTTTGGCCCTTCAACAATCGATATGTTGTCCAAATGCACCCCTCCTCCTGTAGGTGCTGCTGCTGCTGACATGGCAACATTCTTTTCTTTTTCAGGGTGGTGATTCCTTTCATACTTTCGTTGGCTTCTGTAGAACAATATGAATATCAAGAAACACAAACTAGAAACACCTCCGATCAAACCCACGATAATCGCGGGCTTGATATAGGATCTTTTTTTAGAGGCGTGGCCCATGTTCATCGTGCCTGGAACACCTTCTGATGTTGAATATGGGAAACTTAGAAGATCATTCCCCGGGTGGAATGCTGAATCAGGGAAATTTTTCAAGTTTTCAGGAACAACTCCAGAAAGATTGTTGTAAGAAACATCGAGTACTTTAAGGGTACCCGGAAGATCATCAGGGATGCCACCTTCGAAATGGTTGTTAGATAGATCCAGCAACTTCAGGTTACTGTAAAAACTTCCAATTTCTCTAGGAAGATGATCGGTTAGTGAATTATGGGACAAATCAAGAATCTCGAGGGTCAGATTCGTAAATTCGAGTGAAGGGGTGGGGATGGGGATGGGGATGGTGCCAGTGAAGTTATTGAAGGACATGTTTATGTAGGTCAATCTTGTTGAGTTAAAAAGAGTGGGAACAAGTGTACTGGTGAAGTGGTTGGAGCTAAAGTCAATGGCTTTTAGTTCTGGGTAGGTTGATAGAACTGGAGGTAGAACACCTGTGATGGAGTTGTTTGAGATGTTTAAGGAAGTAAGCCTTAAAAATTGGGATGTTTGGATCGGGAAAGTTCCTGTTAAGAAATTTGAACTGAGATTAATCTGTTCAATATAGTTTCCCCATGCTTGGATTCTGGATAAGTTCCCTGAGATCAGATTGTTGCTTAAATCTATGGTGGCACAGTGAGCAATACTGAGAGGCAAGATCCCTGTCAGCTTGTTGAATGACAGGTTAAGACTCCTTAGAGTTGTAGAGGAGATACTCTCCACAGGACCTGTAAAAATGTAATCAAAAAAGAAACAAGTCAAAGTTGATAGATATTTTTATGTTTTCACTGTTGACATGCTTACACAACTTTATAGCAAGTGGAATGAACATACCTTTAAGCTGATTGATGCTGAGATCCAATTCGGTCAAGACCATTGAGGTCTCTTGCAAAAGTGCTTCTGGTAGAGACCCTGATAAGTTGTTGCTACTGAGCCTTAGAATCCGCAAAGAAACCATAAAATTAAAAGAAGGAATAGTGCCCACGAATTGATTATTACTTGCATCAAACACCTCCAAATTATCAAAGTAAGGCATTCCATCATGGGAGAAGAGATACCCATCAAGATTGTTGTGGCTCACATTTAAGTATTGAATTGCAGAAACAAATTTTTCTGATCCTAGCCCCAAGTCCAAACTTCCTAGGAACCCATTGCTGCTAAGATCCAGGTAAACCATACCACCCAACTGTGACAAAAGGTCCATGACCTTCCCAGAAAACTTATTTGAATGAAAATCCAAATGCTTCAGCTGTTTGAGATACCCAAAACTGGATGGAACACTTCCTTCAAGATTGTTCAAGGAAAGATCCAAATGCACCAATCTTCTTGAATTTGTAATTTCTTTAGGTAATGGCCCATGAAACAAATTAGATGAGATATCTAAATACTCCAAGGAACCAATGGAGCCAACCTCTTTCGAAATGATCCCATCAAAATGATTGTTAGATATGGATAAATTACGTAGATTGCTAAGGCCTATAACTGAACCAAAACCAAACGTCCCAACTAGACCTAAATCATTAAGCATCAGGGAGGTCACATGCCCACTGCTACAGGTAATCCCGTACCAATTAAGGGGGCAACCGTTTGATGCCAAGGATTTGGGATCCCATGAACCCAAAACTTTACCAGAAGAATCTTCCTGGATACCCCTTTTCACCTCCAAAAGTGAATCCAATTCTGTTGTTCCCACTACCAATTTAGCAAGTAGTAATATAATCAAACACATGGACTGCATTTCCTCTTCTCTAATCAAACAACCAACTAAAACGCATAAATTAAGGACGTTTCAACTCAATCTATGAAGGTACCAAATCGAAATTGCAATTATAACGAAAAGAGAAAAGCAATAGCAACAGTGGACATTTCAATCCCCGAGTCAAGAACGCAATGATAAGGTCAGAGATGCTCATAGAGGCTAAAAACATACCATAACTTGTGTATCCAATGTAAATTGGAATAAGAACTCAATGCATCATGAATTAGAAATCACCCCCAATGTATGCATGCTGGAGAAGGATAATTGACAGTGAATTTACGAAGGGAATGTGCATAAACAATAATTATAGCAACATCAAAGTCTTGAATGGAAATGGTAAAGCGACTGATGTAGAGGAGCAAAATGGAACAGCTAGAAGGTTGGTGAGTGAAATTAGTGCATTGCAACTAGTAATCGAATTGCTAAAGAAAGCGATGTAACCCCGGGAGATGTGACTTGACTTCTATCGGTGGCCGTATGTATCGAACACTAATAGCGAAAAGCAGCGACGCTTTACTCTCGTTATGCGTACTAATTTATATTTTATTCGTAGAATTAAGAGAAAAAAAACAAATTTGGATCATTGTAAAATAGAGTTTACAGGATTTATCTTTTATCTCATTTAATTTTTTATTTTATAGTATTAAGTATTAACCAGATTATAAATTTAAGTTTTTTTTTATATATTTTTATGAATATCATTCTAAAATTTAAGTTTTTTTTATATATTTTTATGAATATCATTAAAATAATATTAAAATTTATATTATTAAATAATTTTAATTAAACAAAAAGTTCCGTGTATAAAAGTAATTCAAGTTAATTGTGATAATAACAAAACAAATATTTTATTAAATAGATAATTTCGTTCATAACATATGAAAATATATATATATATATATATATATATATATATATATATATATATATATTTTTTCCTGTGACAACTCAAAAAATAGTAACGACTGAGAGGACAATTCTCCACCATCCATTTCGCTAAGGGCACAAACGTCTAACTCAAATATTTGATCGTGGTGCTTTCGCATGCGACCTACGTCTGTGATAACTAATACGGAGTCGAAGATTTAATCACGTGCGGTGAACGTCCATTGAATGTTATTTAAGTAGGTTTTATTATTTATTTTCGCTTAATTTTGTTTTTTTTTCGTTAAAAAATTCAATTTTTTTTAAATATATATGTTCTCGATTTTAACGATTTTAATTGTTTTATGTTTTTTTTAATATTTTTGCAACATACTTGAAGGTACTAGTGTTTTTCTTTATTTTTGTTTTTATTTTTTGATTTTTTTGATTTTTTTGGTTTTTTGATTTTTTAAACTGTATATCGGTTTGAGTTTTTAATGTTTAACAATTATAAAATTTTAAATAAAATGATTATTAAGGATCATAATACTTTTCGTTCATACTTTTTTTGAATCATATTATTTTTAGATCATAAAACTTTGAATCGAATTATTTTGGAATCAAATCATTTTTGAATCATATGATTTAGGATCAATAAGATATTCAATTAAATATAGTTTTTGTTCAAAAAAAATTATGGATCATTATATATTTTAAATCATTTAATCTTGAATCATAAAAGATATAATTAAAAATTATAAAATATTTGAGTCTAAATATTTTTAGATCATAACAAATTAATGATCATAAACAAGTTAAATCAAAAGTTTTTTTTAATTATAAATATTTTCAATGGTCGCATTTCGGATGATATTAAGTTCAATAATTTTTTTTTAAAAAATTAATATTTCTTAAAATTAAAAATAAATACTTCAAAAACTTATTTTAAATTTTTTTTTACAAAGTTACAAGTATATTGAGTAGAAGTATCCCTTAAATTTTTAGTACTCTTAGAGAATTTTTTTTCTGCATTTTTTTATTATATATATATATATATATATATATATATATATATATATATATATATATATATATATAT